AAGAGCAGCAGTCAGAAGCCGGCTGGGACATTGTAAACCTCGGTCCTGGAGCACGAGAGACTCGCGGCCAGTGATTCTCCATAGGAGACATGACCAGCCATATCCACCCCAGCCCTGAAGCACTCATCTGAGGCCCCAGGGCTGGCGCACGGATTGGGGTGGACCCAAGAGGAAGAGAGATGGGCGGGCTGAATTCCCAAGCCTGTGCCCTATCCATATCCGAGGAGGCAGAGGCCCCATATGTGATCCTATGGCAGATGGGCCATAGGTGATCCTCCCCCTCTATGCGGCACTGGTCAGGCCGCAGCTGGAGTACTGCATCCAGTTCTGGGAGCCACACTTTAAGAGGGATGTGGACAGCATCGAGAGGGTCCAGAGGAGGGCCACTCGTATGATCAAGGGACAGCAGGGTAGGTCCTATGAGGAAAGGTTGCAGGACCTGAACCTGTTCAGCCTCCAAAAGAGAAGGCTGAGGGGGGATCTTGTGGCCTGTTATAAACTGCTTAGGGGGGATCAGCAGGCGCTGGGGGAGTCCCTGTTCCCCCGAGCACCGCAAGGAGTGACCAGGAACAACGGTCACAAGCTGGCGGAGGGAAGGTTTAAGTTGGACATCAGGAGGTGCTACTTCACGGTCAGGGTGGCTAGGGTCTGGAACCAGCTTCCAAGTGAGGTGGTGCAGGCTCCCACCCTGGGGATTTTTAAGAGGAGGTTGGATGACCACCTTACTGGGGTCGTTTGACCCCAGTGCTCTTTCCTGCCATGGCAGGGTGTCGGACTAGATGATCTGCTCAGGTCCCTTCCGACCCTAGAAACTATGAAACTATCCTACAGGAATCAGTATTTGTTGTTGAGTAATTACTTGTACCATTTTTGCAGCCACTTAGTGTGGGAGTGACTCATGGATTCAAAAGCACCATGTTGGCTCAAGCTTTTGTTTTTGCAGGTACAGATGGGTATATGTCACACTAACTCAGCCTGTGCTCTAGTAAGTTGAAAATAGAAAATGTACAGAAAAATAGACAGTGGTGTCTGTACTGTGACAGAAGCGAGAGGCTGAGGGTATTGTGACAGTCCATTAAATGTTACAAAGGAGGCCCTCAGCTAATGCAGTTGAGCGTTGTTACTTTAACCACTTGCAGGATGTAGTAGATCGGGTCAGGCAATTATTTTGGGCAGAGGGCTGCTTACCGAGTTTTGAGAAGCTGTTGAGGGCCACATGGGTAGCCCTGCCGCTTGACAGGTGCCCCACCTCCTGGTTGCCATCTTGGGACTAGAAGTCCCACCCCCTGACCCCCTATTTTTGCCACCATAAGTCCCTCCCCTTACCCCTGGAAGTAATCCTTTCAGCACGGGGTTTTGCCAGCTCAGAACTAGAAAAATACCAAATTATATTCTAAAAATCAAACATCTACAACATCTTGTGCACTCTCTCCTTCATTGCGCACATACATACAGCCCCCCCCGCCCCGGTAACTCAAGTATAGTGCAACAGGGAAGAATTTCGCCCTCTGGCTTCAAAACTGCAAAATATATTGTATAAATTTCCATATTTTCTACAGCCCGGGTTCTTTGAGTAAATGCAATATCTTTTATTAGGCCAACTAAGTAGATCACACTTACCCAAAGAACCTTGTCTGCCTATGTCCTTAGACCAACATGGCTACCCCTGACAACCTCAAAACATGTTTTCTACAAAAATCTACCTTATCAGCAACTTTCCCAAACAGCATGTTCTATTTGAAAATGTTTTAGAAAATCTATCATCCATACAGGACGTGGAAATAGATTGTAAGATATCTTCTACCATAAAAATTGTTCAGCAATACCAATATTTCATTTCCAACAGTAGTCATTACCTGAGGCTTCAAAGGAAAATGGCTTTCAAATAAACCCAAATCTAAGTGGTTTTGGTACACAGGTCATATTGCTTTTAGTTGTTTTGCTTTATTTTTATTTTACTTTCTTTCAGGCAAAAGGGTAGTGGTTATGAATTGTACCCACTGGGTGGTTTTCTGTAACATTTACGATTTATATTCAATAAGAATCCAGCGGCTATCGGTATGAAGGAAGTAAACATGGGTATAATACTGTACCCTTCTAATTGTGGGATGTTGTATATCAAAGGAGGGATCAAGTGTAGCACTGTGGAAGAGCTGCCAATTCCTACAGTACTTGTTGTCCTGTGAGTACTTGTACCAAGTAACTCATCTGTTTAGGTCTTAATAATTTGAGATTGTTGGAAAGGACTGCTGAAATTGAGAAGTGCAAGAATGTGATACATGCAAGTTGAACATAAAAGAGTAGAAGTGCTAACTCATTCAAAGGATTTGGCAACTCAACTAGAAATCTATTTAAATAAAAGAGTTAAAAAGTAATTTGATGCTTTCTGCGTGCCCTCTGAGTCCTCTCATTACTAATGTGTAGCTTTCAAATACATTGTCAATTAAAAAAATGTTTTTCTCCTTTCTTGGGAAAGGAGAAAATAAAAGAGAAAACAGTGCCTTGATAGCGCTTCTGCAAAGGAGCAGTGAACAGTTGGGGCTCTGTGCAGGTGCAGAGATCCACTAGCATACATCACAAAGCATTTGTATCTGAGTAGAAGGAAAGTGGCTATTCCAAAAGCAGAAGAACAGTTATTCCAAAAGCAAAAAAATATTTTTTCTCTTATCTTTCTGTCTGGTAAACTGAGGGATTACTTTTTAGCAACAGTAGGTAGAATAGAAATAAAATTGACTGTACCTCTAAATATTCAAAAAAGCAGGGTATAGGATTAGTGCAGATCCTTTCAGGGCAAAAGCACAAGTCACTGAGCATTCATTCTATCTTGAGGAAGGGTCTGAATACATGTAAGTACATTCTTCATAATACTTCCATGTCTTTCTGAATAGTAAATATTTCAGCAGTGGGGGGCCTTATTTATGGCGAAACATCATAGGTAGAGGGATAAAATATTATTTAGGGAGGGCTGAGTAAAACTTAAAAAATACTCACACACACACACCAGCAGATATATCTGTGAAGGAGAAGAGGCTTGTGGGGGCAGATTGAGGCCCCCATGGTGAGGGAGGGAGTGGGGCAGGGGCTGAGGCAAATGGGGCCCCAGGGCCAAGGCAGGTCATGGGATGCTCGGAGCCTGGGTGGCTCATCCGGGACCATGGGGAGGCTCCCGCCGCTATGCACACTGTGGGAGGGGCACATGCCCCCCCCGATTTTTGCGGGGTTGTCGCGGAGATAGGTTGTCACTGTGGGCTGAGCTCTGAACCCCACTGGTATTGCTCAGGAGCTGTGCATAATGCCACATGCCTGCCACTGCTGAAAGGCACGTGGCCTTGCGTGTGGCTCCTGGGTAGCAGCAGCGGGGCGCAGAGCTCAATGGGCAGCCTGCCTCTGCCCTATACATAAATCTGAGGGTGCATGTGCACCTTCCCTTCCCGACCCCCCTCCAGTGTGCACAGCACAGCAGGACCCTGCTACCCACCATGGCCCTGGACAAGGCGCCTGGGCTCTGATCGTCCCATGATGGGGACCCATTTGCCTCAGCTCCTGCCTCTGCTCCACTTCTTCCCTCCCTGCGGAGGCCTCGACCTGTCCCCTACACCCCTTCTCCTTCACAGACTTACTTGCTGGGCGCTCTGTTTCTGGCTACCTCTGCAGGCTGCTGCTGCATGTCTGTCTGTGCGAGCCCCTCCCTGCCACTGCAGCTGGCAGCCAGGCTGCCCTGTGGCCCTCTATGCTGCCACAGATGCCTTGTGTTTTGGGGGGTGAGGGGGCATAAGCCCCGTTAGCCCCAGCCTTCTGCCGTCTGTGAGAAACATACATCAGAAGAACTTATGCAACATGTACAATAAGCCAAGTCTCATAGCAGGGGAGGGCAATTATTTTGGGCAGAGGGCTGCTTACTGAGTTTCGGCAAGCCATCAAGGGCCACAGGCAGCCCAGGGCAGATTAATATTAATTTTCTAAATTTTTTAGGGGCCCCGCGGGCCGGATTGAATGGCCTGGCAGGCCGCATCCTGCCTCTGGACTGCATTTTGCCCACCCCTGTCTTATAGCAAAGTACCTAAAAACGCAGAAATCATCTTCAATTTATTTAAAAATAAAATTAGATCTTTGCAACATTGAGAGGAAAAAAATGGTATAGGCTGACACTGTATAAGTACAGGGAGCTGCTACCTGTACCTCATCCATTTTACCTTATTTACTGAAAAAGATCTCTTGTGGTTAATGAACCAAATTAAGAGTCTGGGCTTAGTTCTTGGTTCTGGCTACTACTTCTTTTCGTGATGTTAGGCTTGCAAGTTAATCTTTAAGGTCTACAGTTGCTCATCTGTTAAATGAGAATAATACTTCCATCTCACAGGGTTATTGTTAATAAAAGCCCCTAAGCCCCACTGACAACAGCAAATTTGTATAAAGTATGGTTTCCCAGTGTAATTTTCCCGAGTACACTCTGGCCTCTATGCAGTTCCCATTACACAATCAATGATTGTCTAGGTCTCAGTTTCTTTGGTAATGCTTGACTTTTCCAGTATTCAAGATGTGATTAAAGAACCTCTTGTCTAGGCCTTGATTACTTTCAAAGTGCTTTATTAATGGCAGTGGTTTTGGTTCAGTCTGAAAGCTTTAAACATTGTCATTCGTACCTTTTATTGGAGACAGACTTCAATAATTGTAAAGGTAGCTGGATCTTTGATGTTAAATGTGAAAAGTTGGTATAACACGGTTGCTATTTCAGCTTCTAATATTGTCTACAGTTTATCAAAACTTCATGTAGTCGGGAATTTTAAAAAAAAATGTACTTTGGAATTGGAGTAATGGACAGCACAAATAAATAAAGAGCTAGAATTTTTCAATCATTAATGTACGCTGAAGATTTCCTGGCAGCTTTCTTGTTAAGAATTGGGGCCACAATTGCCTCCTAATAACCCCCCAGCCTCACAGTCCCTTTGCCGTTTTCATGTATTGAGAGAACTCTATTTGTATCTCCTCTTGCTATAAAAAATGTGGGTGTGATTTCTGTCTTGTATAACTAAAGTTGTCGGTTCCAAGGACTCAAAAATCAGAAGAGTGGTTAAAATAATGATATTTATATTTATTTTTATTTCCTTTGTAGTTCCTCAACCTTTAAATTATGCTCAGAGATTCAACAGAGCTGCGACAGTCTTTTACACTGTCTTCTCTATATAGTGATTGTTTGCCTTGGTGGAGTAGCAAGGGATACAACATGCAGTGATTAAAAAAAATTCAGTCAAAATTTTATTACAGGTGTATTGAGTCTTTTTTTTTAATTAGGAACTTATACGATATGTGATTTGGCTTCTATTTTCCTATCCCAATATTATAATCTTAGTCTAGCTTTGGAACTAACACTTAGCTGAAGCATGTCAAAGAAAAAGGTATCAGTAATCACAGCTTTTGGCAGTCTCTTTAAAATGTATCTCTCACTTTAGTTTGTTAGGAGCGTGTAATTTGAATTGAAACATAACCCACTTGAATCTTGAAGAATCTGAGTTTTTAAACAATTTATGACATTTGGTAGTTACTGAAGTCCTCGTTTATAAAACTATCATTATTATTCCTCTTTGGTCAAAATCAACTTTTGAAATGAGCTGTTTAAAACTTTCTAAAAGTTCTCGGCACATGGTATTTCAGCCACAAAAGACATGTATTACTCAGCAACTGAAATATAAATAAGAGCTTAGAAAGTGTTGTTCCTGTTCTTCTCATCCTTAGCTATAGCATACTGCTGAATTCTAGAATAAAGTATATGAAAGAGTAAAGCAGAAAGCTTTACAAAAATAGGAAATCTAATATATAGTTAAGGAAATATAATACTGTACCCATTACCAAACAATTAACAAAATGGATAATAAATGAAATGTCTAATTTCTAACTTATTTGAGGTGAGATAATAATTCTTTACCTGCATTAATTTTAATGTGTGTTAATAAATTGTAAATTACAAGTACATTTGGATTAACATGCAGGTGATGTACTGTTAGGAATAACAGCAAATATTTAAATATCTAAATATTTAAGTGCATAATACTTCTTTAAAATCTCTTGTAGGTCCAGAGAGGACTTGTTATCTACATATGCTTCTTTAGAGGAGCTAATGAGGAACTCATTCCAAAAATGGGTATGTTTATTATTTGTATTCTTAAAATAAGAGATTGGGGCAGGAACAGGCTGATAAAGGTCTGATTCTGGACTAACTGAATGCCTAGAGAGAGAGATCCAGGCCCAGGTCTGTCTATAGGACACAGCGTAAACAGAATAATTTTGATAAGAAGATTTGAGATGAAAATCTGTAAGCTGCAAATTTGGTCTGTGCTCAAATTATCACTATATTTCTTATCTGAGACCTTGTGTTTCCCAAGTCAGAATCAACTAGTAAGCCTAACAGGTGTTCTTCAACTCCATATTTGTTAGTGAAGGAACTCTTGGGAGGACTTATTTCTAGTCTCCTTTGCTTTCTTAATTTGACTGACTATTCTGGCAATAAATTTGTCTTGAAGAAAATAAAGGGCCATCGAGCAGCCTCATACTCAAGCTTCCTGCTTGGAAAGTTGGCCTCTGCCTATTTAACGGTTGTCCCCATCTCATATGGTATTTTATACTAGTGGTGGACATGTGTAAACTGATTTTATTTTTGACATTAACCTTCTAGAATATGTAATACATGCTGAATATTTATTCCCTTGTTTGTCATTATTTCTGTGGCAACTACATGAGATGAATGTGTAGGGAGAACTGCCTTTCAGATGACGGGCCATGACCTTCAGCTCCTAATAATAAATCAAGATGCTGATCTGACTTTATATACAGGATATTGAAAATGTATAGCCAGTAAAGGGAGTTGGGAGGATACAGTTAAATTACTTCCTTCCTGTTTCTTTTCAGAGATACTGGATATAAAGTTAGACATTGAAATTCAGGTATAATTTGCAAAATTAAAAAAAAAAAAGTAAGTTCTCTGCTGCTTCACAGCATAATTCTTAATCTTTCTATCGAGAGATGCTGTGAATGGAGGAAAATTGGTCATGACGTTTTTCTCTCTGTCTCTATCCTGTGTTTCTGTTGTTCCCTTTTCTCTTTCACTTTTTACCCTTTACTGCTTCCAGAAACAGAGATTGATTACCCATGCAGTACATTTATCCCTTTGCTTCTATTTGGGAGCATTTTTTGGCAGTGCTGATATTAGCAGTTTGACAAAAAATTGTGTGGCCATAGTCTGTTTCAAGCTACTTGCTTGTGCAAACAGGAAGGCAGTGCTGTGCGAAAGCACAGATGCAGAAGTGCTGAGGGTAGCTTCTCTGGGATTCTCTCAGATCCTGCTTACTATGTGGGGGGGGTCTGATTTCCTGTGATCCTAAACTGAGTCTGAATCTCTGTTTAAATTAGTCGGACATAAAAGTAAACATAGTGTATGTGAAATATCATGCATGGGGATATCACTGGATAACAATCCTTTTTAATTATCAAACATATACTTAGGACAGCTATGGTAGTACAAGTTTTGCCATGCTGTCCTCCAATACATAGTGATAGTTATAAAGGATTCTCTTGGACCCATTCAGTCCTTGCTCTTATTGAAACCCTACAAGAATACTAAGCTGTTTCCCATTGAAGGATTTCCTGGTATGGACACTTGTTCACTGGCAGTTGGATGGAGGGCAACTTGGTTCACCTTACCGTCAGATGGTAACAGTTTCCTAGTCTTTATTAACCTGCTTTGCATTTGAAATAACGGCCTAAAAGTGAAGCTTTGTTACTATTAAGAGTTTCTTCAGATGTGACATTTGTAAGGTGTCTGTTTTATGACGCTATACGAGAGGCAAGGGTTTTTTGAGTGATACCTTTTATTGGACCAGTTGTATAGCTGGGAGAGAGATTAGACTAATTTTCCAGGCACAAAGTGCCCTTCCTCAGGTTACCACCTGCACATGGTCAAACTGGCTTATGCATTTCCCCCCAGATGGAAGGGAGAAATCCTAAAGTGCATTCACTGTATTGTTTGTTTGAGCATCAGGCAGTTGAATTAGGGCACAGGCAGAAGTGACAATTTTTGCCTGATCTGGCCCCTGAAAGCTCTCTACAGCTGTGACCTAACACAAACACTTGGCTGCAGAGCACTTTAAAAGGGCCTGATCCTGCAGCAATCTGAACCCTCATTATGTTACGAGGGCTCAGATGAAGGCGCTCCAAAGCAGAGTACCTTCATTAACCTGGGTCTGCACATGCCCAGCCCTGCTCCCAGCACTGTTTTCAGAAAGGAATGGAGGGAAAGGAAGTGGAGGGAGCTCATTCTGAGGGTTGCCCAGCTGGTGCTGAAGGGTGGGACAGGTGGATTGGAGTCCCCATCCAAGGTGGGAGACTCCAGCCCACACCTCCACTTCTGTGCATGCTGGGGAAAACCCAGAATGGACCTCCTTCCCCTGCCTTTTCTCCCTTCCATCCTGAGACAGCACCAGTGGCTGGGGGGGGCGGGGGAAGAAAGAGGGGTTGAGGGAGGGCTATGGGAAGAGGCTCCAGAGACACAGCCTCTCTCCCTGGATTAGCTCCAAATTGGACCTCAGGCCTGTCCTCCTCCTCCTGTTGGGTCAGGAGGATCAGCTTAACTCACGGTCCTTTCTGTGAAGCACCATGAGTTAGATCAGCGACTGCACTTCTGTCTGGGCTCTGTATTAGAGTTGATATCTGATTCTTTGAGTCCTGTGGAGAGCTTTCACCTGAGTTAACCCTTAGAGTTTCAGAGAACCACCCTTCCTACCATAATCATGAATTCCACAGATACGTATACTACATTTGTAAGATTAACATTAATATCTTGTATGGTTTTCACATTTTTTCATTATAAAAAGTCTTAATCTGTATAAAATAACTATTTAATTACACTATTGGATGGATATCTATTTTGTCTAGTTTATAATTGAGGTTTTTTCCTGCTCTGAAATATATTTCCTTAATTACTCTGTAATTTGATAATCATTCAAATTATTATTCAAACATAGAAATCATAATGAAGAATTGTAATGTTTTATTGTAATAATTTATTTTAATAACCTAATAGCTATATTAATGTGTTAATTTTAAAGTTTAGGTTTTCAATTATTTTGGATGCAAAAATGTTGTTTTCCTTTTTTCTTTTCTGTTTTTT